CACCAGCTGGAGGAGGCTGTGGAGAGAAACAGGAGTGAGCATTGCTTTTCACAGAGTCACAGAATGGGTCAGGCTGGAAAGGACAACAGTGAGTCAAGGTGGGCTGGGCCCACCTCCCTGCAGGTGCCACCACCCTGCCCCACCTCAGGCAGGGCCATCCCAGAGCACATAGCACAGGATACTGTCCAGACAGTTCTGGAATAACCCCAGTGAGGGAGAATCCATGACCTCTCTGGGCGATCTGTTCAGTGCTTGATCACTGCAGAGGAATGAAGTTCCTCCTTATATTCAGGTGGAACTTCCTGGGCATCAGTTTCTGCCCACTTTGCCCCCTTTTGTTTAAAGCTTGGTTGCTCTTTGCCAAGAGGCAAGAAGTAGTTAAGCTTAGGGTTAGGTAGATCCAGTGAGGACTTGGGGATGGGACAACTCTGGGGCAGGTGCCTCACTGCAATTTCCTTTCTCCTCTCTGTGCATTTGCTCAAACACAGGCTGGGCAAGATCTCTGTATGGTGGGAGCCACTGAGGCCTCCTCAGTCAAGGGCCTAGGGAAGAAGCAGCCAGCACTGTCACCTTTACCCTTGTGCTACACTGCATGTGAATAAAGGCCAAATTCTGGAAAGACACATTTTTAGAGGAGATTTTGTCTTAAGGGAGTGTCTTGGAATATGCATCAAAGCCAAAAGAGCTACAGAAGGGTCTCTTACTTGTTATGTGGGAGCCTGGAACACACAGTCCTCAAGTCATCTGAAAGAGGACAGAAGGTTAACAGTGAGGGTAAGGCAGAAACTACAGCAATTTTCCTCTCCACTGTCCCAGCAATCTTTCATCATCATCAGTCACCAACAGACCCAGATTCCCACTCTCAGGCCCAAAACCTTCAGGGGAGAGAAAATGTCTCTCCAGCTCAGCTTTCCACACCAAACACCTCAGTGTATGTTTGACACCTGACCCACACTGCCACATGGGAAATGCAGCTCCACACCTACACCAGTGACCTCTCCTTTCTCACTCTCCGTCCAGCTCCTTTTCCTGAACTATTTCCTGTACTATCACTTTTTAAGAGGGGAAAACTGCTAATTCTGCTGTGAACATATTGATGTTTACTCCTCCCACCCCAGAACTCCCTCTTACAGCTTCTGCACACTGGAGGGAAAGAATCCCATGCCAAGGTATGTCCCAGCCCCATGACAACTCACCTCTAGTGCACAGGAGAGCTCCCGAGGCCATGGCCACTTGCAAGGCCTGAGCCAGCCTGTCCAGAGCCAGTTCAATCTCTTTGGAAGCATTGAGAGGGTTGAGCTCATCAGACAGTCTGTTAATTTCCTCAACCAGGGGAACCACGTGGTCAAAGGGCACGAGCCCCAGGCGCCCGTAGAGGTTCTTCTCCGTTAGGTGCCCCTGGAGCATCATCAGAACCTGCAATACGCTCAGGTGCAGCTTTGAATACAGCTGGTGGCAATCTTTGTCTTCTCCTGAGGTCGAGTCCTTGGCAATTTTGCTGGGAGCATGTCCATTGGAGAGAGAGGCTTTCTTTTTCCTCTTGTAGGCCAGGGGAGCCTTCACGCACCACCGGATGAGTCCTGTCAGTGGTGTGAGCTCCAGAAACCCTATGGGCAGGTTGGCTGCAATGGGAGTGTTCAGAAAGGTGATGAGGATCAAGCGTGGGTCCTCAAAGATCCAGGAAACTATCAGCTCCAGCAGATCTGAAGGAGGGATGAGGTCATCTGCAGAGAGGAAAGTTATTGCAGGGTAAGCTGAGCCTTGCGCTGAAGCACAGGACTTTGGTTTAGGCTCTGATTAGTCTCACACATCTTCCTGCACTGTCACAATCACCATTTCAGAACCTCCCCAACTTTGCCGGTTTTAAAAGACACCGAAGGCACATGCTCCTTTGTCCCAAGGAAGACACAACCATATTTCTGTCAACCTCACCTTTTCCACCTGCTTCAAAGACACCACCAAATGCCAACATTTATCCCCCTTTCCAGCAAAGCTTCTCATCATGGAAGGTGTCTGTCAGTGGCAGGGGGTGGAACAAGATGAGCTTTAAGGTCCCTCCAACCCAAACCCTTCTGGGCTTCCACGATTCAGCCACAGAGTAGTTATTTTTATTCTCACCCCAGTGGCAGATGAGGATGAGGCAACAGCCACACCCCTGAGCTGCTTTGGCAATGATTACATGGTAACAGTTCTTTAGGATTTCAGCAGTTACTTCTCTTGCCACAGTTCATGTGTTGCATGATGCTGCACCTCTTGGAAAGCCCCACTTACCTGAAGAGAGGTCGTAGAGGGCTGTGACAGCTGTGATGAACTGGCAGCAGAAGCGAGGACTGGCACTGAAGATCTGCTTCAGGGTCTGGATGGAGCCTGGCACCAGGTTGCAGTAGTCATCGACCAGGGCTCGTGCCAGGCGCACACAGAACACTGCGGGCGTGCGCTGGGGGCACAGAGAGCACACTGAGACTTAGAGATTTTTTTTTTTACTACTTCAGCAACATTTCTTCCCTGTGACGCACAGGTTGCCCAGGGCAGCTGTGGCTGTCCCATCCCTCTAAGTGTTCAAGGCCAGGTTGGACAGGGCTTGCAGCAACCTAGCCTGGTGGAAGGTGTCCGTGGCCATGGTAGAGGGTGGAACTGGATGAGCTTTAAGGTCCCTTCCAACCCAAACCAGTCTGGGATTCCATGATTCTAACACAGTTCTGCAGTTCAGCTGGTTCAGTCCCACAATAAGCAGCTCAGTCACACCTGATATTTTTAATGTGGAAAAAATTCTGTGCAATCCTCGTGTCACTTAAAATCTGTGATCTGAAGAAAACACCACCTTCTCCTGCTACCTAGGTGACTTCCCATCCATCCCCCCCAAGACTCTGTTCCCTGTGTTGGTCAAACCCTTTCAGCATGCAGGGGTTGGGGGGGATTAATAAAACTTGCACTGACAGTAAAACAAACAACTGTTTTCTGCCAGTGCAGCACATAAAGGTGTTGGGAAAAGCTGATCCTGATGCCGAAGCACAGGGATGGACACCAGCACAGACATGGGGAATACACCCTGTCCTGAGGCCCCTTCCCCAAGCTGTCCCTGCCCACACAGCAGCTGTACCTGCAGCCAGAAGGCAGCACACTCCAGCACAGGCACTCTGCACACAGCCACTGCCATGGAGACCAGTTTCCCCAGCAGGGCCATCCTGTTGTCATCTGCTTTGTTCCCCTGGGGGCTGAAGAGGGATGAAAAGATGATCTGTCGGACTGAATCCTTGGTTTGCTCTTGGAAATAGTTGCACATTATCTCAAGGAGCTGAAGTTCCTGAAGTGAGTTCAGTCTCTGAAAGAAAACAAAAGCAAAGCTGCAAAATGCACTTGGGAGTCTTGAAGAACCTAGAAACAAAGGACAAGGAACAGCAAAGGCTGAGAGCTTCTCTCAGGGGTGAGAAGCTCAGTCTCTGTGCACAGCACACACACACACACTGAAGCTTCCTGAGCCACCACTGCATTTCCCCACTGCCACTGAACAGCTCTAGGTTGTATTTGAGTGCCTGGGGGGCCATCAGGGTCTTGACAGCCAGCTCCCTCCCTACCAAAACCCCCTCGGTCACCAGCACCCCAGGGACAACATATCCTCCTGGGGCCTCAGTCTCCAGCAGCAGTTCCCCAGGGATTACATCCTGTCCTTCCAATCTCTCTGTCTCCACTAGCAGTCCCCGAGCTGGTCCTGTTCTCCTAAGGCTTCAGGCTGCAGCAGCAACCCCCAGGGATCCTGTCCCGAGCTCTGGGGGTCTCTCCTCCACACTCACTCCCTCCGCGCTCAGCCCCCCGGGCCTGCGCT